CTTCTGAGTCATAGCCATAAAACACACTGTGGCTTTTGCCTTGCTCTCCTGAATTACTTACATTGTGGGAATCCAGCTTCCATATCATGAGGATACTCAAGCAGCCTTATGGAAAGATCCCTGTGGTAAGAAACTGAGGCTTCTTGCCAACAGTTAGCACTCAGCTGCCTACCATGGTAGGAAGAGGAATCTCCAGCCCTAATCAAGATTTCAGGCCAGGCATGGTGGCTCACACCTGTAATCCCAACATTGTGGGAGGACAAGGCAGGGGGATTGCTTGAGCCTAGGAGTTCAGGAACAGCCTGGGCAACATAGGAAGACCCTGTCTTTACAAAAAAAATTAAAAATTAGCCAGGCATGGTGGCACATGCCCATAGTCCCAGCTACTCAGGAGGCTGAGGTGGGAGGATCACTTGAGCCCAGGAGATCGAGGCTGCAGTGAGCTGTGATTGTGCCACTGCACTCTAGCCTGGGTGACAGAGTGAGACCCTGTCTCAAAAAAAAAAAAAGACTTCAGATGACTGTTTACATGGTCATCTTCTTAATCGCAGCTTCATGAGACCAGAACAACCTAGCTAAGCTTGCTCTTGAATTGCTGAAAAGATATAAAATGATAAATGTTTGTTCTTTAAAAAAAAAAAAATCAAGAGAGTACTAGAAGATGAGGATGGACAGATCATAGAGTGCATTCAGGCTTAGATTTTTATTCAGCCAACTAGGAGTGTTTTCCTTGTACTCCACAATGATCCCTAAATGAAATCAGATGGGGAGGAAGGAGGAGTCCTTAATGGATTGGGCTAGACTCCTCCCTACTCAGAACAGCTTTCTGCTTATCAGTCTTATTTATTTATACTTCTGGGTAAGAATTTAATTAAAGAAAGGATTTTTCATCTAAAAATGTTTGAAAGGCATTGCTATAAGTGATGAAGAGTCACTAACAGATTTGAAGCAGGTGACTGACATAATGTGTATTTCAGATAATTCAAGCAGTAGAGGATAGACTGAAGAAGAGCAAAACTATAGACCAAAAGACCAGGTAAGAGGCCACTTCAGTAGTCTAAGCAAGTGATTCTGGGTACTGGAATAACGGCAGTGCAGCAGGGCTGAACAGGAGGAGGCAGCCACAAAAGAGACTAGAAGGCAGAATCGACAGTACGTGGTGAGTGACTAGATGTATGCAGGGGATGGTGGGGACAGATGAGACAAAGAGAGACTGACTCCTAGATTTCTCGCTGGGGCCACTGCACGAATCCTTGTGTCATCATAAGAAGAAGGAAAAGAAGGACTAATATTTGGCTAATAGTAATAGAGACCTGACTGCAATGGCTTCAACAAAAGAGCTTGTTCTCTCATGTAAAAGACATCAGGAGGAAGGCAGTTCTGAGCACTGGTTGAGACCCAAGGATAGCAGGGCAAAGGCTCTGCAATTCTTGTGGCCTCTCCTTCCCAGTCCCAGACTGGCTGCTAGTACTCCAATTATCATGTCCATTTCCTAAGAAGCAGGATGGAATAAGGATAAAAGGGTAAAAAAGGCTTGAAGTCACCCATCAACTGACATCTACTTCCATCTCTTTTGCTTGGCCAAAGCTAAGTCATATTCAGAATCTTAGTTGTTGTGGGGAAGGGGACTGGAATATGCACCCTAACTTTACAGACACTCATGTATAGGAGGGTGTAGTAGAAGAGTGTCAGAGTGGTGCTGAGTGAATCAATCTGTGGTATTGTCCACAGTAGAGAAATGATGAGTTTGGCCTTCATCATGTTGGATCTGAAAGGTAGGACATCAGGTAAAGAGGTAGAGTAGGCAACTGGCTATACAGTTCTGGGATACAGGAAGGCACAGTAGGCAGATTTAGATTTTATCATCAGCGTAAGTGTAACTAATGCCATGTAAAGTGACAAGAATGCCCAAGGAAGGCATAAAGAGAGCAGGGACAAAAGCAAGATCAGAACCGTGTGGAATACCAATACTTGAGGCGCAGGCAGAAGAAAAAGAATCCAAAGGATTGAGAAGGCCAAAGAAGGAGAAGGAGACTCACAAGAGCAGTTTCACATGGTGAAACCCTGTCTCTACTAAAAATACAAAAAGTAGCCAGGCATGGTGGTACACAACCGTAATCCTAGCTACATGGGTGGCTGAGGCAGGAGGATTACGTGAATCCAGGAGGCAGAGGTTGCAGTGAGCTGAGATCGCGTCACTGCACTCCAGCTTGGGCGACAGAGCGAGACTCCATCTCAAAAAAAAAAGAAAGAAAGGAAAGAAAACACGTAGCTAGATGTCAGCCTATAGCTTTTTCTGGTTCAACACTAAAGTTTCATAAGGGCAGGATTCTTTGCTGTTTACTGGTTGTACGGGATTAGATAGTGACCCTTAAAAATTCACATTCTGGCCGAGCACAGTGGCTCATGCCTGTGATCCCAGCACTTTGGGAGACTGAGGTGGGAGGATCACTTGGGTCCAAGAGTTTGAGACCAGCCTGGCCAACACGGTGAAAACCCGTATCTACTAAAAATACAAAAACTAGCCAGGCATGGTAGCATGCACCATCTCAAAAAAAAAAAAAGAAAGAAAAAAGAAAAAAAATTCACATCCATCCAGGAACCTTGGAATGTGACCTTATTTGGAAATAGTGATGTTGCAGATACAGTTAGTTAAGTTAAAATGATGTCATACTGGAGGAGGATGGGCCCTTAATCCAGTATGATTGGTGCCCTTCTAAGAAAAGAACAGGCAAAGGGGCAATACCATGTGATGATACAAGCACTGATTGGAGTGATGCATTTACATTACAAGCCAAGGAATGCCAAGGATTGCTGGTAAACGCCAAAAACCAGGAATGAGGCAAGGAAGGATTCTCCCCTACAATCTTGAGAGACAGCATGGACTTACCAACACCTTGATTTCAGACTTCTAGCCTCTACAACTATTAAACAATTTCTATTGTTTTAGGCCACCCAGTTTGTAGTACTTTATTTTTTTTATTTTTTGAGACAGAGTCTTACTCTGTCACCCAGACTGGAGTACAGTGGCACAATCTCAGCTCACTACAACCTCTGCCTCCCCATTCAAGCAATTCTCCTATCCCAGCATCCCGAGTAACTGGGATTACAGGCACACGCACCACCATGCCCAACTAAATTTTGTATTTCTAGTAGAGATGGGAGTTCACTACGAACTCCCGGTCTCAAGTGATCCACCCACCTCAGCCTCTCAAAGTGCTGGGATTACAGGTGTGAGCCACCACACCCAGGCTGTAGTACTTTATTATGGCAGCTCTAGAAAACTAATACACTGGAATATTCCAGACTTCTAGGATAGTATCTGGAACACATAGGAACTCAGTAAATGAAATATTTGTTGCATGAATGGATGGATATTTTAATTCCTACGATTGACCTTTCCATGACTTCTAGCACCTGCTGGTAACCATTCCCTAGTCACACCCGCACACACTTCTTGATACTCTCTCCTCTGTTTTCCACATCACCAGGTTCTTCTGGTTCTGTTCCAATTCTTTCGTCTGCCTTTTAAATATTCAGTCCTCTCTGCTTGCTCCACACTGTAATTTTATCCCTTCCCAGGTTTCAATTTCCCATATATACCAAGGACTCCCAAATCTAAAACAGAGCTAACCACATCACACCGCTGCTTAAAAAACAGAGATGGGCCGGGTGCAGTGGCTCATGCCTCTAATCCCAGCACTCTGGGAGGCAGAGGCAGGTGCATCGTCTGAGGTCAGAATTTCGAGACCAGCCTGGCCAACATAGTGAAACCCCATCTCTACTAAAAATACAAAAAATTAGCCAGGCGTGGTGGCAGGTGCCTGTAATCCCAGCTACTCGGGAGGCTGAGGCAGGAGAATCACTTGAACCTGGGAGATGGAGGTTGCAGTGAGCCAAGATCACACCATTGCACTCCAGCCTGGGCAACAAGAGCAAAACTCTGTCCAAAAAAAAAAAAAAAAAAACGGAGATGGCTCTTCATTGCTTACAGATTAAGGCCAAACTTGACCACTTCAGTACTTTACTCTGTCCTCACCCTAGTATGCATCAACCCCTTCCTGTAAAGTAACCTGTGCTCCAGTCACAAAGGACAATTCAGGTTTCTAAAGCACACCATGTTTGATGTTTTTAATGCTTCCATATTCCTTCCACCCGGAATGCTCTTCATTCCCTTCATCTACTTGGTGAAATCCTAGTTCAGGCTAAACACAAATGCCATCATCTTTTGAAGACTTTCCTGGCCACCATTCAGGACAAATGACCCACTCCCACCTGTTTTTCCTTGTGTTCAGAAGACCATCACAACAGGAGTCATTCCCTCAAAGTCACGAGCTCTTTAATGGTAAAAATCATACCTTATTCATCTTCACAGATCCAGTACCTAGCTCAGTGCCTGGCACATGGTATGCTCCACAAGATTACAGGTTGAATGAACTCATTCAAACCTGTACATTGTAAACAAACTACAGCTATCAAATGGCAATGGAGGGGCCGGGCACAGTGGCTTACGCCTGTAAACCCAGCACTTTGGGAGGCCAAGGAGGGAGGATCACTTGAGGACAAGAGTTCGAGACCAGCCTGGCCAACATGGTGACACCTCGTCTCTACTAAAAATACAAAAATTAGCTGGGCGTGGTGGTGCACGCCTGTCATTCCAGCTATCAGGGAGGCTGAGGTAACAGAGTTGCTTGAATCTGGGAGGTGGAGGTTGCGGTAAACTGAGGTCACACCACTGCACTCCAGCCTGAGCAACAGAGTGAGCGAGACTCTATCTCAAAAAAAAAAAAAAAAAAAAAAGCAATGGAATCACATCTGAGCACCATTTCAACAAAGCACAATAAAGATATTACTACATTAACAGAAGTTAGAAAACCACCACAAATGTCAAAGTATTGGGCCCAACTGACCTGTTCAACAACAGATGTGATATTTATATTATTCAGAAACAGACTCCAACACAATAGGGAAATCCTAAACAGGGAGCATCAACCTCTTACCTCCGCAGATACATAGTCTCCTCGTCTTCTGTGTTACAAAACTTATGGGCATGTTTGGCAGCATCAATCACACGGGACCGGTCCCGGGGCCTCATGGGCAATTTCTCTAACTGGCAGTCTGAAGGAATGGAGAGATTTGGTCACTAGAGTCACGGCAAAATATAGCAAATAAGTCACTGCAAAATATCCTGAGAAGTTTTGAATGGGGTCTCTAGCACTAGAATTTTCTACTGCAATTACTATGCTTATTGAAACCTATTACTGAATGTTCCGACTAAAACTGACTTTCTGTCAGGAGACCTTGGTATTTGGTCCCAGCTCTGCTACTACCCTGGTGATCTTTAGCAAATCACTTCCTCCTTCAGAGACTTTTGCCTCATTTGAAAGATGAGTAGATGATATTATCTCAAAAGTCCTCCCCAGTACTGCAATTCAGGTTTCTATGAGGATTTCTGTGATCATAGTACACTTGGTTTGTGTTATAATGCATTAGAATCAGAAGACACAATCAAGCATACTGGAATGCCTACGAGGAAGCACTGGGAAAAGTGGGTGTGTGCTAAAAAAAGGAGAGAGGCTGGGCGTGGTGGCATGCACCTATAGTCTCAGCTACTGAGAAGAATGAGGCAGGGCAATTACTTGAGACCAGGGGTGCAATGCTGTCATGTCCCATGATTCTGCCTGTGAATAGCCACTGTACTCCTGCCTGGGCAACACAGCGAGACCCTGTCTCTGTTTAAAAAAAAAAAAAGAGGCCAGGCAAGGTGGCTCACACCTGTAATCCCAGCACTTTGGGAGGCCAAGACGGGCAGATCACCTGAGGTCAGTAGTTCAAGACCAGCCTGGCACAGCTACTTGGGAGACTGAGGCAAGAGAATCGCTTGAACCCAGGAGGCAGAGGTTGCTGTGAGCCAATATCACGCCATTGCACTCCAGCCTGGGCAACAGAGCGAGACTCCGTCCAAAAAAAAGAGGTGGGGGAGAGAGAGGGTAAGTGATTATATAGCATACAAATGATCCATCCTAGTTGGAGGAATTTTAATCTGAAAACAATGAAAACACAGTAAACAAATTAGGTACAGTTGTAAAGCAGATTGAAAATTGATATAATGGGTCAGGCGCGGTGGCTCACGCCTGTAATCCAGCACTTTGGGAGGCCGAGGTGGCAGCGGATCACCTGAGGTCAGGAGTTCGAGACCAGCCTGACCAATATATAGTGAAACCCTGTCTCTACTAAAACATACAAAAATTAGCGGGGCATGGTGACACACACCTGTAGTCCCAGCTACTTGGGAAGCTGAGGCAGAAGAATCACTTGAACCCGGGAGGCAGAGGGTTGCAGTGAGCTGGGATCACACCACTGCACTCCTGCCTGGGCAACAGAGCAAGACTCCGTCTCTCAAACAAAAAAAAGAAAAAAAAAGAAAATTTATGTAACGCAAATTAAATACCTAAAGGATAACAGAGAAAGTCAAGTGGTCAGAGTAATTCAAGATGAATAGAGGAGATGAAGAGAGGAGTTAGAGAACGTTACGCAGTTTACATGTCAGCTCATTTACTCTTCACAATGAATGGTTAAAGTAGAGATTTGTTGTTCCTGTTTTAAAGATGAAGGAACTGAAGTTAAAAAGGGTAAGAGATACACCATGCATCTAATAAGAAGCAGAACAAGAATTCAGATCCAACTCTAAGTGATTCAAAAGCCCATGCTGTTTCCACCACACCTCCTTACCAAGAATTAATTTCTTCAATAAATATGTGAGGGCCCTCTAGGTAGCAGGCACTATTCTAACACTGTGCTGAAGATTCAGCAAACAACAAAGCAGATAAAGTCTTCCCCCTGGCCAGGCACGGTGGTTCACGCCTGTAATCCCAGCACTTTGGGAGGCCGAGGCCGGCAGATCACCTGAGGTCAGGAGTTCAAGACTGGCCTGACCAACATGGAGAAATCCCGTCTCCACTAAAAAAATACAAAATTAGCTGGGCATGGTGGTGTATGCCTGTAATCCCAGCTACTTGGGAGGCTGAGGCAGAAGAATCGCTTGAATCCGGAAGATGGAGGTTACAGTGAGCTGAGATCACGCCACTGCACTCCAGCCTGGGCTACAAGAGCTAGACACTGTTTCAACAAAAAAAAAAAAGTCCTGGCCCTGATGCAGCTTCCATTCTAGTGGAAGAGGCAACATATTTTAAAATAATTATAATATGATCTTGGGCAATGGTTAAGTGCTAAATATCAAGCAGGGTAAGAGGACAAAGTGACAGGGATGCTGTTTTAGATAAGGTAATCAGGGAAGGGTTCTCTAAGGAAATGACATTTCAGCAGAGACCTGAATGAAGTAAGGAGGGACTGAGGGAAAAGTTTTTGGGGCAGAAGAAATACCAATTCCAAAGGCACTGGGAGGCCGGAACACTTTTGACATGATGGAGAAAAAGCAAAAAGGCCACTGTGGCTGAAGTGCAATGAATAAGGGGAAGACTGTTAGGGGATGAAGCCTGAGAGGTAGCCACAGGCCTGATCAAGGGTCTTGGTATGGATGGACTTTGGTTTTATTCTCAGTCTTATATGAAACCATTGGTTTTGAACAGGACTCTGGCTACTATGTAGAAAACAGTGGAAGCAACGAGAGCAAGAGACTATGGTGCCAATCCAGGTGAAAGATGGTAGTAGCTTGGACTACAGTGTTAGAAGTGGAGGTGGTAGGCTGGCCGCGGTGGCTCACACCTGTAATCCCAACACTTTGGGAGGCCTAGGTGGGTGGATCACTTGAGGTCAGGAGTTCAAGACCAGCCTGGCCAACATGGTGAAACCCCGTCTCTACTAAAAATACAAAATTAGCCGGGCGTGGTGGCACATGCCTGTAATCCCAGCTAGTAGGGAGGCTAAGGCAGGAGAATCACTTGAACCTGGGAGGCGGAAGTTGCAGTGAGCTGAGATCGCGCCATTGCACTCCAGCCTGGGCAAGAAGAGTGAAACTCCGTCTCAAAAAATAAAAATTTAGCCGGGCCTGGTGGCCCGTACTACTTGAGAGGCTGAGGCAGGAGAATCGCTTGAACCCGGGAGGCGGAGGTTGCAGTGAGCTGAGACCGCGCCACAGCACTCCAGCCTGGGTGACAGAGTGAGACTCTGTCTCAGAAAAAAAAAAAAGAATGGAGGTGAAAAGCAGCAGTCAGATTCTGCATAATTTTCATGAAAGCACCTGTAGGATTTCCTTATGGACTGGACAGATGTAAGGTATGTGACAGAGAGAAGTCAAGACTGATTTCCAGGTTTTGGTCTGAGACACTGGATGAATAGTGATACTACTGACTGCAATAGGGATGACTGTAAGAGAAACAATTGGAGAGCCGGTGTAGAGGGTCATGAATTCAATTTTCAGCACGATATATTTGAGAGGCCCATTAGACATTCAAGTGGAGATGTTGAATAGGCAATTGAAGTCTGAGGAGAGGTGCAGGTTAAAGATGAACATCTGGGAGTTACCAGCACGTCGGTTGTATTTAAAGCTTAGGAATGAATGAGATCACCTAGGGGGTGGGTACAGAGTGAGAATAGGTGAGAGTACTGAGCTATACGGCCTTGGAATGCCTAAAAATCTGAGAGAGAAAAGGGAGCCAGACAAGAAGGGGAAAAAATCTAAGGCCAGGCGTGGTGGCTCACGCCTGTAATCCCAGCACTTTGGGAGGCCAAGGCGGGTGGGTCACCTGAGGTCAGGAGTTCGAGACCAGTCTGGCCAACGTAGTGAAACCCTGTCTCTACTAAAAATACAAAAATTAGCCAGGCGTGGTGGCGGGCGCCTGTAATCCCAGCTACTCGTGAGGCTGAGGCTGGAGAATCACTTGAATCCGGGAGGCAGAGGTTTCAGTGAGCCGAGACTGCGCCACTGCACTCCAGCCTGGGCGGCAGAGTGAGACTCCATCTCAAAAAAAAAGGAAGGAAAAAAAAAGAAGAAGAAGAAGAAGGGGAAAAATCTGAGGTAGGAGGAAAATCAGGTGAGTATGGAGTCTTGGAAGCAAATAAAAAACGTGTTGCAAAAAGAATGAAATGATTACCTCTGTCAAATGCCACTGAGAGAAGAATTAAAATGAACATTGATAACTGACCACTAGAACTGTTAACACGGAGTTCAGTTAGTAATTCTGCCAAATACGGTTAAGATGATGAGGTGGGAAGGAAAGCCTACCTGAAGTGAGGTCAGGAGAGAATGAGAAGTCAGGATGCAGAGACAGCCAATATAGGCAACTCTTTTGAGAAACTTTGCTATAAAAGAAGCAACGAAATGGGGTTATAGCTGGAGGGGAATACAGGATCAAGGGAGGGTTTTATTTTTGTTTGCTGTAACGTAAGAGCAACTGCAGCATCTTGGTATCCAGCAGAAACGTTATAAAGTTTCTAGAGGCAGTAGTTTTTGAAGACAGTGGATTAAGAGGGAAATACAATATGTTTGTGTTTCTATTTTTGTTTTCCTGAAGGAGTTTAGTTTTGAGGAAGGTCTGGATACAGAGTCACAAGGCTAAACAAAAAACAGGAAAAAAAAATGCCCTGGAGTGGGGCGGGGATGTGTAGGGAGGATTTCGTCGGAAAGAGAAAACCCACCAATCTTCGTTGAGAAGTGGTTCCCAGATCAGTCAGAGGAAATTCGCCTTCAAGAACCCGAAGTCTGGCTCCTGGCAGACGCCCCCGCAGTTCCCAGCTACTCACCCAGTACTAGGACCATCTGGCCGCACAAACAGTAGTAAACATGGAGGGGCTTCTCGCCGTCGTCATATTCCTCCCGGTCCCGAGTGTCAGAGCAGACTACTGACCGAGACACTACTTTCGGCATGGTTCCCAGGAGCAATCTCAAGACTCTACGCCAAGAAGAGGGTCGCGCCGAAATGACGTCACAAGCGCGCCTTGAACCTTTTCCCTGTGGCTGCGCTGGTCACGTGTTAGTAGAAGTCTTATAAACTTCCGGGCTGTCCTATCAGGATAAGATATACAGGGGTGCGCGTGGAGCTTCCCAGAACCTACTTTGTCTTGGCCAAGTTAGCTGGGACTCCTGTGATCTGGGAGTCGCTTCTCAATGAAGATTGGTGGGCACCCTTAATATTATATAAATTATTCACATTTCTATAACGCATGAATTTGTATGTATATATACACATATGTATGTATAAGACCAGCTAAATAAAGAACTATGAATTATATAGTCTATATTATATATATATGATACTGACTTAGGTGTGTTTCTAAATATGATTTTGATTTTAATGACTATTCCGGATGAGTACCTAATTTTTTAGGTATCTTATTTTTTTAGTTGATATCATTCACATAACATAAAATTCACCTTTTAAAATGTGTTATTGAGTGGTTTTTAGTGTATTCACAAAGTTGTGTAACCATCACCACTAATTCCAGAACATTTCCATCATCTCAAAAAGAAATCTTATACCCATGAGTAGTCACCACCACCCCTACCCCCCAACTTCCCAGCCTGCGGCAACCACTAATCTACTTTTTATCTCTGTGGATTTGCCTATTCTGGACATTTCATATAAATGGAATCCTACAATATGTGGCCATTTGTCTGGCTTCTTTCATTTACCATAATGTTTTCAAGGTTCATCCATGTTACAGTACTGCTTTCCTTTTTATGGCTGAATAATATTTCATCATATGGATATGATGGATACATTTTGGATACATATGGATACATTTTGTTAATCCATTCATCAATTGTCGGACAACGGGGATGTTTTCACTTTTTGGTTATTATATAGATAATGCTGCTATGAACATTCATGTACAAGAATACTTCCGCCGCAAATTTGTGTGGGAATATAACTCTGGATTTTTAACTTTTGACAGCACAAGAAGTGATTAAAGCACCTTGACATTGTGATTCAAACAATGTTAAATGTCATTGAGTGACTTTACTGCGGTACAAGTTTCAGGTATAAACACTGTTCTGCCTTATAATTTTAGGTTAAATTCATTAAGGAACATTACTAAGTCTATGGCAAAAGCCATTTTTAAAAACTATTCATGTTCAATAATAGTGGTCAAAGGTGGGGTTCTTCTCATTTAGAAAATTTTCTAAAATTTTAGCCTCCCAAGTAGCTAGGATTACAGGCACGCAGCACCACACCCAGCTATTTATAGATGGGGTTTTGCCATGTTGGCCAGGCTGGTCTTGAACTCCTGGCCTCAAATAATCTGCCTGCCTCGACCTCCCAAAGTGCTGAGATTACAGGTGTAAGCCACTGCACCCGGCCTAGAAAATTTTCTCTCAAAACCTCACCGCTTTTGAATTGCTATTCATAGGGCAAGTCAGAAATATTTAACTTATGTTTCTGGAAAAAAAAAAAAAATGGAACTGACAATGGTTTAATCCATGAGAGTGAATGAACTTTGCGGTTTTGTTTTTTCTTTCTTTTTTTTTTTTTTTTTAGATGGAGTCTTGCTCTGTCACCCAGGCTGGAGTGCAGTAGCACCATCTCAGTTCACTGCAACCTCCGCCTCCTGGGTTCAAGCAATTCTCTGCCTCAGCCTCCTGAGTAGCTGGGATTATAGGCGCCCGCCACCATGCACAGCTATTTTTTTTTTAGTTTTAGTAGAGATGGGGATTCATCATGTTGGCCAGACTGGTCTTGAACTGCTGACCTCATGATCCATCCGCCTTGGCCTCCCAAAGTGCTGGAATTACAGGTGTGAGCCACCGCACCCGGCTGAACTTCACTGTTGACACTGCTGTCAACAATAACACAAGATAGATTCAAGTTTTTTGTTTTATTTATTTTTTTTGCAAAGTACCCGCTGTTACTTTTTTTGCAAAGTACCCAATTAATAACTATAGGATTTTAAACAACTTACATTTTGACAAGTATTGTACATTTGTCTAAGCCTTTTCTGCTCCATACATATCTGTAATACATCTTAGCAGATTCTGCTTTAGACTGAATTGAATTAGTATTTTCTTGATTTCTTTGAAAATACTCCCATCTGCAGTTGTTCTACACAGACCATACACACAGGCCAATTTTTTTTTTTTTTTTTTTTTTAAGACAGAGTCTTGCTCTGTCACCCAGTCCGGAGTGCAGTGGCACAATCTTGGCTCACTGCAACCTCTGCCTCCCAGGTTCAATCGACTCTCCTGCCTCAGCCTCTTGAGTAGCTGGGATTACAGGCGCGTGCCACCATGCCTGGCTAATTTTGTGTGTGTGTGTACGTGTGTGTGTGTGTGTGTGTGTGTGTGTATTTTTGTATTTTTAGTAGAGGCAGGGTTTCACCATGTTGGCCAGGCTGATCTCAAACTCCTGACCTCAAGTGATCTGCCCACATTGGCCTCCCAAAGTGCTGAGATTACAGGCGTGAGCCACCGTGCCCGGTCCAATTCTTCAGTCACTTTAAACTCAACATTGACTCCTTGAGTAAAAAACAAAAACTAAGCAATACTGGCAAACATTCAATTCGTTAGGAACCAAGGAAAATCACTTGAAATCATTTGCTTTGTTTTTGTTTTTGTTTTTGAGACAGGGTCTTGCTCTGTCACCCAGGCTAGAGTGCAGTGGCATGATCACAGCTCACTGCAGTCTCAAACTCCTGGGCTCAAGTGATCCTCCCACCTTAGACTCCCTAGTAGCTGGGACCACAGGTGCACACCACCACACCAGCTTTATTTATTTATCTATCTATTTATTTATTTATTTATTTATAGAAGCAAGGTATTTCTATGTTGCCCAGGCTGTTCTTGAACTCTTGCACTCAAGCAATCCTTCTGCTGCAGGCTTTCAAAGTGCTGAGATTACAGGTGTGCCCCACCGTGCCTTGCCCTTTTTTTGTTTGTTTGTTTTTGTTTCTGTTTTGTTTTGATGTTGCTTTCAATGTCCTCAACTCTTGGAGCCACTGTTCTTGCTGAAAGGTGAATAGTCTTCAACAGGTTTTATTTTTCTTGAGCATATTTCTTTGACTTCTGCAACCGAACACAGTTTAGCTCAATATCAGTAAATGACTTTCCTTGCTTGGCTAACAAAGGAGCCACTCAGAAACTTACTTTGGCTACAGGCTTATTTTTATTTTTTACTTTTTTTTTTTTTTTTTAGATGGAGTCTCCCTCTGTTGCCCAGGCTAGAGTGCAGTGGCGTGATCTTGGCTCACTGCAACCTCCACCTCCCAGGTTCAAGCAATTCTCCTGCCTCAGCCACCTGAGTAGCTGGGATTATAGACGTGTGGCACCACACCCAGCTAATTTTTGTAATTTTAGTAGAGATGGGGTTTTACCATGTTGGCCAAGCTGACCTCGAACTCGTGACCTCGTGATCCGCACACCTCAGCCTCCCAAAGTGCTGGGATTACAGGCATGAGCCAATGCGCCTGGCCTATTTTTTAGTTTTATGATGAATTTTGCTATAATAAGATATTCTACTTAAAAATTTAAATTGTACTGGCCATTGCTCTCCTCTGAGTTGGGAATATTGTGATGAATGCTTAGTCTGGTAACATTGATGTACATTATAATATTGTAGCAATGTGATGGTGTCGTTGTGTAATAAACACAATGCTCCCACATCTAATTTGGCAATTAAGTAATCCACACTCCATTGTACCTTAAAAGCAAGACCTTCAAAGCCCACTTTCTTTACTTTTGACACAATAGGTATGCACTTGTAACTTTTTTAAATGCCATGGTAGATACATGTGGTATTCAATACACTGTGGAGTTATGCTGCATTCCTGCAATTTGTAGTACTTGGAGCAGCAGTATGAGGTGATGAGAGCACCACACACAGCCTCTGTCACTCACCTCTGCCATTGTAGCACAGATGCAGCCACAGCCAATACAGTAGGCCCTCCACATCTGTGGATGCAGGACTCACAGATACGGAGGGCCAAATGGGAGACTTTAGCATCTGTGGATTTTGGTATCTGAGACAGACCCTGGAACCAATCCCCTGTGGATACCAAGGGATGACTGTGCATAAATGAAAGAAAATGGCTGTGTCCCAGTGAAACTTTATTTATGGGCATTGAAATTTGAATTTCATGTAATTTTCTTTTATTTATTTATTTATTTATTTAGAGATGGAGTCTCGCTGTCTCCCAGTCTGGAGTGCAGCGGCCCGATCTCTGCTCACTGCAAGCTCTGCCTCCCGAGTTCATGCCATTCTCCTGCCTCAGCCTCCTGAGTAGCTGGGACTACAGGCGCCCGCCACCACGCCCGGCTAATCTTTTGTATCTTTAGTAGAGATGGGGTTTCACCGTGTTAGTCAGGATGGTCTCAATCTCCTGACCTCATGATCCGCCCACCTCGGCTTCTCAAAGTGCTGGGATTACAGGCATGAGCCACCGAGCCCGGCCAAATTTCATGTAATTTTCATGTGTTACAAAATATTATTAAATCTTTTGACTTTTTTCAACCGTTTAAGAATATAGAAAACCATTCTTAGTTTGTAGGCCATAGACAAATAATGGCAGGTTAGATTTGGCTGTAGTTTGCTGAGCCCTGGTCTGGTGGATGTGGCTGGTTTGACTGAATTCCCATGTACAACATGGTAGACATGTGTATTAGTTTCATATTACTGCTGTAACAAGTTACCACAAACTTGGTGACTTAAGACAACACAAATTTATTACCTTAGAGTTTTGGACATCAGAAGTCCAAAACCAGTATCAGCGGTCTAAAGTCAAGGTGTCAGCAGGTCTGATTGCTTCTGGGGGCTTCAGGCTTCCATCTTTTGCCTCTTCCTACTCCTACTGCAGACATACTTTGGCTCCTTCACTGATGGCCACATCACTCCAGTCTCTGCTTCAGTCATCACATGGCCTCCTCTTTTACTCCTACTTCATCCCTGGTATAAGGACTGGTGTGATTGCCTCAGGTCCACCCCTTTAATCCAGGATAACATCCTCATGTCAAGAGTCTTAATTTAATCACATCTGCAAAGTCCCTTTTACCATGTAAGGTAACATATTCACCAGTTACAGAGATAAGGAAATGGAGATCTGGGTGGGGGGGCGGAGGGGGCAGGGTTGTGCATTATTCGGCATACCACATCATGTCTTTGTTTTCTTTGATTCAGTAATTTAGCAGGTAGTGAAATCCTTTTTTTTTTTTTGAGACGGAGTCTGGCTCTGTCACCCAGGCTGGAGTGCAGTGGCGTGATCTCAGCTCACTGCAGCCTCTGCCTCCCAGGTTCCAGAGATTCTCTGCCTCAGCCTTCCAGGTAGCTGGGATCACAGGCACGCACCACCATGCCTAGCTAATTTTTTCGTATTTTTAGTAGAGACGGGGTTTCACCATGTTGGCCAGGCTAGTCTCAAACTCCTGACCTCAGGTGATCCGCCCGCCTCGGCCACCCAGAGTGCTAGGATTACAGGCGTGAGCCACTGTGCCTTGCCTGAAATCGCATTTTCAAGGCCTTAATGTCTCCATTTCCCTCAACTTTGATATTCCCCTCCCTCCCACTTTGTCTCTCTCTCTCTCTCTCCCCTCTGCTCCCACTTATGTCCTAGAGGCTGAAGATGAACAACATACTACAAGTTGTCAAGAGCAAAAGCACACACTTTGCTAACTGTTGCTTCCTAAAAGTGATTCTCTTGAAATATTTTCTGAGATTATTTGAGTCAAGAAAGACCTTTCGATTTTTATTTTCTGTTGGTGCTTTGTTGCTGTTTGTGCTAAATTTTATCAACAGAGGTGAAAACCGTAGGAAAATAAAATTCATTTGCCTTCACTGGATAACAGAAATACAAACTTATAGCCTGATAAGGCAAGAAACGATCTTTAATTTCGTCTCCTAACCCAAAATAGTTCAGGAAAATAAAAATCTATTTTTCATGTTGAAATCTTCATGAATGAAATTTCACAATTTTTTTGGTTTTTTTTTTTTGAGACAAGTCTTGCATTTTTGCCCAGACTGATCTCAAACTCCTCACTTCAAGTGATCCTCCCACCTCTGCCTCCCAAAATGCTGGGATTACAGGCATGAGCCACTGTGCCCAGCCCACTTTTCTTTAAATTGAGGAGACTGGTCCTTTCCGGACCCCTGCTCTTGGGTAGGGGTGGTGCTTGGCTGTGAAGAGGGTATTTCTTCAAAATGTCAAGGTCAAAAGAGGGTAGAAAGAATGCTTGGCCAAACTGTGCTATAGTTAGTATGTTCTAGCCTGATAATCATCATGCTGGAAAACAATCTTCTGTATCGCTGCTTGCTATGACAACCCTGCTTCTGCTGAGGAATGTGGGGGCACGGTGTTCCTGCAATGCAGTTTCATTCCTTAGTCAGAGAATGCTATTCCCATGCAGGTGCCCGGGGCTTCCAACCATTTGGGTCATGCTCCTGAGTTTTTGTTTGTTTGTTTGTTTTTCGTTTTCTGAGATGGAGTTTCGCTCTTGTTGCCCAGGCTAGAGTACAATGGTGCGATCTCGGCTCCCTGTAACCTCCACCTCCCGAGTTCAAGCAATTCTCCTGCCTCAGCCTCCGGAATAGCTGGGATTACAGGCACACACCACCATGCCCGGCTAATTTTGTATTTTTAGTAGAGACGGGGTTTCTCCATGTTGGTCAGGCTGGTCTCAAACTCCTGACCTCAGGTGATCCACCCACCTTGGCCTCCCCAAGTGCTGGGATTGCGGGCTTGAGCCACTGCGCCCAGCCGTTAGTTTTCTCGATTATGTAGTCCAAGGAAGGAAGAGAAAGGGGGTTTCAAAAAACAGACAAGCTCACAACAAACTTACATACATCTATATCCTTCAATAAATTTCAGACATGTATATCCAGTAACAGGAGCTTCTCAGTCCCTTTCATACTCTCCAGTATGGTACATGCCATTTCTTAATAGGGTATTTTCTCTCTCTCTCTTTTTTTTTGGTCTGGTTCTGTCGCCCAGGCTGGAGTGTAGTGGCATGATCTCGGCTCGCTGCAACCTCCGCCTCCTGGGTTCCAGCGATTCTTCTGCCTCAGCCTGCCGAGTAGGTCGGACTACAGGTCCTCGCCACCGCACCCAGCTAATTTTTTTGTATTTTTAATAGAGGTGGGGTTACCCCATGTTGGCAAGTCTAATCTTGAACTCCTGACCTCAGGTGATCTACCTGCCTCAGCCTCCCTAGTACTGGGATTACAGGCATGAGCCACCGTGACTGGCCTCAAAAGGATATTTTCAATGCATCTCTCTCATGCTCAAACACCTATAAAAGCTGCCTAAATTCCCCAACCTCGCATTTGAGGGCATTTAATCAACTTCTGTCACTCTCACTTTTCCTAGTTGAGTTCTCATCATTCCCCAGCCAAGAATCTCTCCATTAGCCGAGCTCATCTGCCCACTATTCCCAGAATATGGTTTAGCTCCATGCCCTTGTCTGTGCCATTGCCCTCACAGAAACTGCTTAAGTTCTTCTCTCTCAAGCTCTGCTTTCATCTCTTTTGAAACAAAATTGAAATACACCCATTTCAGGAAGCTTGTCCTGATCCCACCAGAATGACGATTCCTCTGCTGTGCAATCTCTCAGCATCTGTGGTTTCACATACTTCTACAAGTTGAGGATCCCAAATCTGAAAATCCAAAATCCCAAATGCTTCAAAACCTGAAACTTTTATAATGCAAATAATTCCAAAATCTGAAAAAACAAAACAAACAAACAAACAAGAAACTGGAAATCTGAAACCGTTCTGGTTCTGCTGTTGCTGTTATAGGCAGACTCCTAAGATGCTGCCCTCCTCTAAGATTCTTGGTCCTTGGTATATACGCACACTTTCTCCCAGTTATTAAATGAAATAGTAATCTAGGTTCTGCAGTGGCAAAATTTAGCAGATGCAATAAAGGTCCCAAATTAGATGTTTTTAAGATAGGGAGATCATCCACACGGTGGGTCTGACATAATCTGGTAAGCCTTTAAAGTAGACTGTGCTCTTCCTGAAAACAAGATTCAAAGAGTGAGAGGGATGTGGTAGGAGAGAAATTCTCTGTTGATGACTTTGAAGATGGAGTAAGCCACGTGGCAAGGAATGCAGGTGGCCTCTAGGAGCTGAGAGTAGTTCCCAGGTGGCAGCTAGTAAGGAAATAGGGACCAAAGTCCTACAACTGCAATGAACCGGGCTTGGCCAACAACTTATAATTTGTTAAGCAGTGATGAAAACGAATATGCTCGCTTTTGTAGATCTTGCTTTTGTTGATTTCATATGTGTGTATGTGTGTGTTAGTAGACTGCAAGTTCCTAGATGAGAGGAAAAAAAGTTTTTTTTAAATTTTTGTACCCCCTTCCTACTACAGCCATAATGTGATGCTATTAGGGAGACTTGCCTTAACTGATATATTGGAGTTAATGGGAGATAGAAATCCTTGACCATGAAAGTACCTGTTATTAAACAGCAGCTAGAATTACTACCATTGTCAAGTGCCTCCTGCTTCTCATGTTAGAAACAAATTCCTGCACATCTGATATCTTCTGGACATCTTCATGGGGATGTCTCACCAGTCCCATGAACTCAGTAAGTCCCACCCAAAATTTCCTCTCCCAAACTTGTCCCTCTCTCTCTATTCTGTAATTCTGTTAATGGCACCTTCAAATCCCCAGTTATCTTGGGGCTTAGAGTTTCAGCCTCTGTTGACTCCTTCCTCTCTCTTGCCTCCGTATTCAACCTGTTGCCAAGTCCTCCCCATTCATTCATATCCTACTTGCCTTTACTGTCACCGCCTGGTTCAGTATCTCACACCTAGATACTGCAAGAGTCTCCTGCCTGCTCTCTTGAGACCAATCTCTGATAAGCACAGCTCTAATGATGTCACTTCCCTGCTTAATGGACTTCCAAGGAATCCATTAGCTTGGCATTCAAAACTCTTGATGACTTAACCCAAACCTACCTTTCTCCTATTTTCAATAATTTTTAAATGTGTATTATGCCTATCTTCTAAGTTATTTTGGGTTGACCTTTAAAAATTATCCTTTAAAACTGTTACTGCTTTTGCAGGTCCACGGACTGTGACTCTTCCTGCAACCTGCAGCTTTTCCACGTTCCTTTTACTTCAGACCCACTGTCCTTGCAACTCCCTGCAGTCGGATAGTCTCATACTGTGGACTCTTCTGAACATATAATAGTCGCTTGGCTTGTTGAACTACCAAGGGGAAATGTGGTTCCAGAGCCAAATTGTGAGTGCCCAAAGCAAAACAAAACAAAACAAAACCCTACTCTGCCTGCCTTAAGCTCCCATTCCCTCCCACAGGACATACAACACCATTTCATTCTGCCCTGGGGTGATCGTTGGCCTAAACGTTGAGCGCCCAATCCTGCATTCTATCCCACAGCCCCGCCCCGCCCGCCGGTCATAGTCAAGGCCGATTTATTCTTTTGATTTTTCGTGATTTTAACCAATCACTCTGCTCCGCACCCCTCCGACCCCAATCTCCGGTGTCCGCAGGGATTGGGCACCCTAGAGTTGCCGCTTTTTGAGAACCGGTTTTACCTCCGCCCACTCCTTCGTCCTCTAGTTTGGGACTTCCAAACTTCTCCCCCCTCCTCCCCGGGCATAGTGCGCGCTCTCATGAATGATCTGGTCACAAAACAAAAAAGAAGAGAAAAAGAAAAAAAGGAAGAAAAAAGAGAAAAAGAAAAAAAGCCGAAAACTTCCCAGGGTTTGCCTTAGAATTAGCAGGTGGGGATGGACCCCGTTCCACCACGAGGTCCTCCAGCGCCCCGGGCTCCAGCGTACCCCACGCCTCTGAGCTCGCGGCCCCGCCCCCGGCCTCCTGCGGGGCTTTAATGACATAAGCAACTTTCCTCGCGCACCCCCCGCCCCGTCTTGGTACGGCCTGTCCGGCGCTCGACGTTCCACCCCCCTCTCTCTTCTCTCAGGTTGGTTCAGCCCCCGTCTACACTGGGGTGGTGCTTAGCCGGCGCCAGACCGACCCTCGACTTCGGAGAGGCAGCGCGGTGCCTCTGGGTGCTTCCGCCTCCCCTTCTCCGGCTTCTCCAGCGTCCTCGGCCTCGTCGCCCGCCGCGGGAACCCGAGACCCCAGTGTATGCCCCACCCCTGACCCCGCTCGCGACATGTCCACTCCGGCTCGGCGGCGCCTCATGCGGGACTTCAAGAGGTAAACTGAGGGGACGGCCGAGGCCGGGGGTTGCGAGCCGGGGCACAGGGCGGGTCCCGAGGCGCGCCGGGCGGGGAGGGCTGGGGAGCGGCCGGGAGCGGGCGCCAGTGCCGGCCTAGGGGGACCCCTGTCTGTCTTCCCGAAGGTTGCAGGAGGATCCTCCAGCCGGAGTCAGCGGGGCTCCGTCCGAGAACAACATAATGGTGTGGAACGCGGTCATTTTCGGGTGAGTCTGCGTTCGTGGCGGTGGCGAGAGAACGGGGTACGCGAGCCCTCTCGGTCTGCGCTCCAAGGCGGGCCCCCCGTGGAGGCCGAGGGGGTAGGGGAAAATGTTTGGGTCTGGCTGGGCCTAGGCGCCTCCCCGGAGCCTGTGCCTCGATTAGCTCAGTTCCCGCTGCCAGGGGGAACCGCTTGGGGTTCTAGGGGGGCGGGGCGGGGAGTGGTGGCGGTTAGGCGCGGCGGCCTGCCCTGTGTCTCTGAGCCCGGGACATCTATTTGTAGTGGCTTCCGACTCCGGCAGCGGTGCGGGAGGTGGCAGAGCTCGGGATAGCCATCTCAGATGAAGCAGGGAGAAGGGGGCCCCTTAAGTGGGAACTGACCATTTTTCTCTGTGTTGCAGGCCTGAAGGGACCCCGTTTGAGGATGGTAAGAGAGAGTTTCTTTACCCACTTTTCAGGAGCCTGATCATCTGGGGAATGGGTTCCCACTCATCCTGGAAGTGTCTCCTGCTTAGGAACCTGGCTCTGCCTAGTCTCTGTCTGCTAAAGGCTTGAATGGAATGCAGTGTGTAGCTGGTCGTTCTGGATATTGTATGCTTGACTAGAACTGCACCTTTCTTCTTGCTTTCTTAAAAAAAAATCTGGGGAAGGCAGTCACTTTTTAAAAGGAGCAATCATAGCACTGGTATTAAGGATTTTTGAGGCTTGGGCTGTGATTCTGCTAAATTCAGCCCTCCATCACTGAATTAGTATAAACCCAACCAGTTGCTGATAGTCAGCAGAGACCCCAGAGACCATCTGGTTCAGAATTCTACCCCAAGGGCAGGAATTGTGGTCAGCAGGTGCTTGGTAAATGTGTGTTGGATGTTGAGTGGATGCAAGCGTCCCTTCCATTCAACTGTCTGGTTTCTACAATCTGACATTGAATGCCTGTCAGCCTCACTTCTCTAAGATGGTCTTAAATGCCTCATTTGAGTACAGTATTGTTTCTTATTTTTAAGTGAATTTACAGTGTGTGCTTTCATCAAGACGTTATGATCAGTAATTTCAAAGCAGCTTCACAATTGAAGTTAGCCTCACTGTACCCTTTTGATCAGTGTCCCGCCTACTTGAAAGTACTACATGTACCAGTAGGTACATAATTTTTAAGTGATTTAGGTTTAACTTTTAAAAACACATGTGTAATGTAAATTGCTTTTTAAAAACTTTATGATTTTAGATAATTATAGATTCATATGCAGTTGCAAGAAATTAAGAGAGACACCCTTTATACCCTTAACCCAGTCCTCTCCCCAAACCCTCCCGTTTGGTAACATCTTGAATGACTAGACCCTATCACAACCAGAAAAATGACATTGATAGTTCTGCACTCAGTTGTGTGTGTGGTGTGTGTGTGTTGTTGTTTTTTGAAAGTTTAATACATTTAAAGGATGATTAAAGTATTTGAACTTATGAAATTCTTTAATATTTGAGGTTTTTAAAAAAAGGAAAAGGATGTTTCTGTTATTTTTTTTCCTCAATGATTTATCTTCATTCGGTCACATAGCATTTATACACACACACACACTTCAGTTTGAAGGTGGGAACAAAAACATTTCTGCAAACTACTTAATACATACTTATGTTGCTGAGCCGGATTGCTTTTTGATGCTACCAGTCCGCAAAATGTTGTGAGGTAAGTCAATATCAACTAAGTCTATAATTCATCTCAAGTAGTTAGATTTCCCCAGGAAACTGTGGACAGTCACCTGAATATTTTTAGCTTCCTCTCTACCTTTACCCCTTGGGTAAATATCA